ACGAATCTGCTCGGTACGGAGCACGTGTGTGTGTGGCCTACGGAAGCGGGCAGTGTGCGATTGAGAGGTCGCCAGAGTTGAGGCGAGGCGGCGTGTGCTGACGGGGAATCCAGCCCGTCGTTGAGCTTGGTGGTGGTGTGCATTGACGGGAAATCCAGTGTGCACTGCTTGAGTGCTGGGGCGGGTACAAGGGCGGCGTGTGCACTGACGGGGAATCGAGCGTGCGCGTTGTCCAAGGATGAGCCTTGGTTGAGTGTGTAGGCTGCGTTAGCAAGTGACTAAAGCAGCTTATTGCTGATTAATAAAGTAGGAACGAGCACAGGTGGTGAACGTTCCGGTGCAGGGTCAAGTAAATCCTGTCAGCCAGTGGTGTCTATTATAAAGTAAAGTTACGAAGTCTAATTGAAAGCGGAGGCCGTAGCGCAGCACAATGGAGCAACGACCCGCCCCACGGCCGGACGAGATAATTGGCCCGTTACATAGTGGTCATACAGGGGTCCCACAACAAGAATACGAGTGAGCAACGGGCAAAGATGACGGATAAGATCTTCACCTCCAGGGCCTTCGCCGAGGGTCCTCGGTAAGAGCAAGACGAGGTTGACACGACGATGTGCGTCAGGCAACAGTGACGACCGACGGAGTGACGTGGAGAACGAGCCGCCCACAGGCGCTGTGACCAGGTCACACAATGACGGATCGCGTACCATGGTTGTGACGCTGGACAGAGAGAAGCCAGCACCGGCGAAGGCGAAAAACAAGCATACGGCACACGAGGCCGTTCCGGAGCACCGTGAGGAAGAGACGCATGGGCGTGGAGAGATGTCTCAGGATGGTGACGACTCGCGAAACGACAGTGGCACGAACGGATTGGTGGCGACCCCTCAGCTGGATGTTACGGCGATGGCCACAGCCATAAATGAGCTGAGAGCGATGGTGGCGCGACTCCAACCTGCAACCGAAGACGATGATCGCGGTGGGCGTCATCGCGAGCAACGACGCGACGGCGATGCAGCTGTACGACGTGGCCACGCTCAGGCTGATCGACGAAGCGGGGGCGACGGCAACGGTTCGAGCAGCAGCGGAAGAAGAGCAGTACGGTGTGACCCATGGCCATGCATCGGATCCTTCGGACGACGATGGCGGTGGCGATGATGGGGATGGAACTGGGCATGTTAACAGTAGTGCCGACAGCGATGACGATGATGACGACACCGCTACTGAGGAGTTCCCCAGCAGTGATGACGACAGCTCGAGCGACTAGAGCAGCTCGAACGAGGATGAGAGCAGCGGAGACAGTGATGAGGAAAGCTCATCCAGCTCCGACAGTGAGTCGGACAGAACGCGACGACAGCGTGACCGGCGAGAACGGCGGGGACGTGACGAACGGCGCGAGCCGCACGACCGACGCGAAGGGCAGCCGAAGCGGAAGAGCGTAAAGGACCTGGAGCTGCCCACCTTCACTCCATCACCCAAGGTGTCGGTGTCGACCTGGATCGACAGGGTCGATCTGTCATTACGCGGTGCCGAATAATCTGGGCGCGGCACGTGGACGGACCGAGCGCTGTACTTCATGCTGGGGAACAAGCTGATGGAGAGCGCAACACGGTGGTGACCGCAGGTTGACGGATCGTAGACGAAACATGGATGTACCTGAAGAAGGCGTTGCTGAGACGCTATGGTGAGCGCCTTGACGAGTCGGCTGCCGAGTGGCGGGTGAGCATGAGGCGCATGATGCCCGATGAGACGTACGCGGACTTCGCAGCAGCACTGCGCGAGGTGGTCGACAAGAACAAGGTGCGTGAACGTGTCCTGCTCACCCAGTTCTACCGTTGCTAGGACAAGACGACCAAGAAACTTGTGCGGCAGCCACCGAAGCCGAAGACGCTGGAGAGGGCCGTGGCAAAGGCCACCAAGATCGACGACCCGATGGACAACGTCGCACAGGGAAATGCAAAACATCGGGCACGCATGGGCAGCTGCATTAAGCCCGTACCTCATCCCGATGGCGGGAACGATAGGTCAGACGATGATCATCCCAGGAATTGGGGGTGCTGGCCTGTCGTCTGGTATCACGGCGACGAACCACACGGCGGTAATGGATGGGGACGGTAGAGCTGTCGCGCTCTTTACCAACCCTCAGGGTATGTGGAATGACTACTCAAGCACATGGGATGTTCCACCTGGGCACGTGTGTAACGGGAAGTACTGGGTGTAGACCAAAGCTGAGCGGAAGAGAGCGGGCGAGGTCCCAGCAGGCCTGTGAACGGAGCAGTGCAAAGAAGTCGGAGAGGAAGTCGCGCGACAGGGACGACAGCGGTGACGAGTCGGACGTGAAGCCCACACGAATGAAGCTGAAAGTGGCTGTGAAGCAGGTGCAGACGTCTGGGCGACAGACAGAGAAGACGCAACCGAATAAGAGCGCGAGCCCTGGTCCGTACCAGTGCTTCAACTGCGGCCAGCCAGGTCGTTGGTCGGCGGCCTGACCGAACGAGCCGAGGGGTCGACCCCAGAGCGACGGACGACGAGACGAGTGGAGAAGGCGGCGGCATCGCACAAGTACGGCTGGCGCGAGAAAGGCACGCAAGGTAGCAAAGCGGGTGAAGGCTGAGCGGGCTAGGGAGCGTCGACGTAGCGCTGAACTAGTGGCATAAGAAGAACAGCGACGTGTTGACGACGAGCGACGAGAAACGCGTCGCCAGCAGCGAGAAGAGGCAATGAGGCAACTCGACGTACAGCGCACCGCTCGAGGAGGCGCTGTATGCGAATCTGGTGGTGGGGAAACAGCACGCGTGAGCCTAGTACAACATGGCGACACGATACGGCGGCAACCAGTGAAGGCGAATGACGTGGAGTACATCGGTGCTAACGATGACCTTCCGACAGCTCAGATGGAGGTTGACGGTGTGTTACGCAGTGTCAAGCTCGACAGTGGTGCTCGACACACTGTCGCTGGCACTGACTGGATGCAGTTCGGAGACCGAGTGGAGACATAGGCCCCAGTTGACTACGTGGAAGGCATTGGTGGCTTCTTGCTCGACGTGGTCGGTGTGTGGCACTTTGTCTTGAATAACGTATTCGGTGAGAAGATCAGTGTCGAGGCATGTATTGTCCACGGCTGCACGACGAATTTCTACTAGGAGTTGACTTCATGCGTAGCCACGGTGCTACCATAGACTTCCACAGTAACGAAGTGAGGTACAACGACGAAGGACGACGCGTCGTGATACAATTTAAGACGTACGACAAGACGGGTGGTGCCAAGGGCGCGGTAGTGCGTATGGCGAGGAGGGCACACTTGGGTGGTAGTACGGTGACCCCAGTCGAGGTGGCAGTAACCGCGTCAGCAAGGACTGTTCGTACCCACTCCACACGTGGGCTCTGTGATGTTGGCAGCGACGGTCACCCCCGAAGTCAATGGAAAGGTGCAGCGTGAACAACTCAGTGGCTGGTTGCGTGAACTGGGTGCCGTCGACGATCACTTGGTGAACGAAGACGACGTCAACATCGGAGAAAAGGACGAGAACAGTAGGCGACTAATGCTGCAATTACTGAGGGCAAACAGGAAGACGACGGAAAACATGGACGAATGTCCACCCGCCACTACGCTCAATGTCGAGCACCATATCGACACGGGTAACGCTGCACCCATAATGCTGAAGCGACGACGGGTTGCACAGGCCGAAGACGTTGTAGTAAGAGACCAATGTACGCAAAATGCTCGCGGCAGGTGTCATTGAGGAAGGCGAGGGTGCTTGGGGTTTCCCCGTAGCTCTCGTGATGAAAAAAGATGGCGAGGTGCGTTTCTGTATTGACTATAGAACGCTCAATAAGGTGACCAACAAGGACGTGTATCCATTGCCGAGGATTGGCGAAACTTTGGAGGCGCTTGGAGGTGCACTACTATTTACCACGCTCGACTTGAAGGCGGGTTACTGGCAGATACGGGGGCCGCCAGGGACAAGGTTAAAACCGCGTTCACGACGTAGCAGGGCCTGTACCAGTTCGTGCGGATGCCGTTCGGGTTGACCAACGCTCCGTCAACCTTCCAGCGCATGATGAACAGTGTATTACGTGGCCTTACATGGCTGACCTGTCTAGTCTATCTAGATGATATCGTGATCTTTACCCGTGGTGGCATCGAGCGTCACGTGATTGAGTTGGCGTGCGTGCTGGAGCGTCTGGAGACGGCGGGTCTCACGCTCAAACTTAAGCAGTGCGTGCTTACAACTAGGAAGATCGAGTACTTGGGACACAAGCTCAGCTCGGAGGGCGTTCGACCCTTGGATCGTTTGGTGACGGCAGTGAAAGACTTTCCGCGGCCGGTCGACGATGTGGAGGTCAGCGGCTCGTTCACTTG